TTAGACGGAGCTAACAGCAGGCTAATCGGACGATAATCCTGGGGAAATATCGAACCCACCCTCTTTGGAATTATTATAACTTCAGCGGTCTTCTACGCGGATGGAAAGTACTGGGTCCTTAGCATGGTATTGATAATAGCCACGAGATAAGTCAAAGACATCCGTAAAACCAGGTTCAGCGCCTTATTAGTGATTAGATCCTCCCCAGGTGCTTTACGCACTTTAAGGTCTATAATATGACCTTGAATCTCTGCCGGTGTGTAATGCGAGATCTCGGGAGATTCCGCTGATGTGCTAAGCAGATCTTCGGTTGAAGAAACTTCTGAAAAATAATCTTCTGATGAAGAAAAATCAACAACGGTAGCGCGACTGCCACTGACGCCGTTGGCCCTAAAATATCTCCTGACAGATCTTACGATGTGTTGCTCCTCGTCGAGGTCATTATCAAGATCATAGTTGGGAGAGAACTGTCTTTCCATGGCATCGGCGAAAACCTCAACCTTTTCCTCTGTCCTGAAGACAATACCTCAAGGACCGTGGATTTGTGGGATTTGTTCACGCTTTCCGTTTTTGAGCGACTTCCAGAGAGGAACGCTTGAGTCAAACATCCTCGACAGAAAGTCGTTCCATTGCTCATTGCGGAATTCATGAAGAGCATTTCTTACTCCATGAACAGGATTCGTCGCTCTGCGAATGTCATCAGGATGACAAGACGTTTTCGCTTGCTTAACTACAGCCCTTTTATCAGAAATTTTCTGACGAATATCTGCTGACAGAAAAGGTCTGCCGTGTCGCTGCACGGGAAGTACAGCTGCACGCTGCAGAGCTTGCTTTCTTGAAGGGGTTTCATCCTCCAAGGTGTGCTCATTACCTACTTCCAAAACGACAGGAAGATGATCGCTTGAGATGTCATACATGATTCGAACAAGTGATACTGAATCTATAGTTTTTGGATATTGCAAAATCATGAACATCAGGTGCCTAAAGGTGATTAAATGGGTGGTGCGTCGGCTCCTCAGTACTATGTATGAGGTAGCCATTTCGTATCACATGGTTGTACAGTCGGATCCCACTGGTGGAATTCAACCTAGAATTCCATGCTCGATGTTTGCAGTTGAAGTCCCCTGCCACAATAAGTGCACCCGAGCAGCCTAAAAGGACTTCCAGATCTGCCTCTTGCAGCCTGATACGACACCTGACATACGCCGATGTGATTTTTTAACGGTAAACCTCCCATCATGTGGTAGTCAATACCGCGTTTTACTAGCACTGCCAAGCCGCCACCCCGTCCAGTCAATCTATCAGCTCGGATAACATCGTAATTCGGGAAAGCTAGACGATCTCCCGGATTAAGTAATGTTCCCTGCAGCAAGGCCACATATATACTTTCGCCCACAAGCGCTTGATGAAATTCCCGTATTTTGGGAATGTCCTTAGACCCAAATGATTCCAAAAAAGAATTTTGATTAATGCAGGCTGTGGTCTATTATACCTAGCCATTTGCAGGACAGATTGCCTGCAAAGCCTGTGTTGCGCTAATCAGAGGACTTATGATCTGCTGTAAGGACCTTAGCGCGGTTACCAGGTGCACATTTTGCGTGTTCGCAGAAGATCCCACAGAGGGGGCATCCGTAGCTGCATCCGCGTAACTTACATTGCGCCTTTGCGCTATCACTTGCAGATTTTTCCTAGGAGTAAATCTGCATGTTCGGCTATTCGCTGGGTGCCCCCCTCCACTGTTCGCGCACTTTCGTTCTTCTGTCTTGTTTGAGGGCATAAGTGGGTCATGTGGTCAGAAGCACATTTAAGACACTTAGGTGGTGCAGTGCAGCAAGATTGCGCATGCCCATATTTTTAGCAGCGGTGACACTGCCCGATAAGTCTTGAGTTCTTTTGAACTTCGACTCGGATAGCCAAACGTAGCAGCTCATGTTCGTGGAACAGCTGCTGAGATGTTTCTATCTTGGGCAGTATGACTACCACCAAGGGCATGGGCACTCCGCCACCGCGTTTCAGGCGAATTATGTGCAGGGGGGAATATCCCCTCTGTTGCAACTCTTCCTTGATCTCCGTTTCCGAAAGTGTCGCAGGTACTCCTCTGATGACAGCATGAATGTTCCTCTCCGAGGGTAGAGGGAAAGTGTGATGGGGCACCTCTTCTTCCCTGAATAGACGAATAATTCTGCGGTAATCATCCTCGGACTTGGGAATTATTCTGATTCCTGCGTCGACGGCAACCGCGCGTTCGAATTTGATGCCCAAACAGACAAACTTGTGATTTACGCCTCGCCATCTCGAAGCATCGCGAAGAACGATAGGGGTAACACGTATTTTGCGTGGGGACTGTGCAGTCGTGTCTTCTCATACCTAAGATGTCGAAGGCGAAGAAGTAGCCGATAGATTAGGTACAGGCTGTTTATTTGAGCGACTTGCAGTTGAACGAGACGTTGCAGATTGCGATTTTGGTGGAGGGAGAGGAGGAAAGCCTGTCATGTCGGTCTCGTTTCGTCGCGTTTTACGGAGATTGACCGTGACAAACCCGTCAGGGAGTGTATCGTCATCAGTGGAATGATCGCATGAATTATTTAACGGTCTATTAAGATTGCCAGCTTTATCTTTACGGGGATTTTGTTGGAGTGTTTGGGAAGAATGTGTAATATTTAGATAGGAAGGTACCTGGGTTTTCAGTAGGCGGTCTAATTTAACTGTTAGGTCGTTAAATGTCCGCTGCTGGGCTTCGATGATCATCATTAATCTTTCAATGGTCTTCTTTGACTGCTCCTGTCGAACCATCTCCAATTCGACTCTCAACTGCTCTACGGTCTGCTCCCTCCCTTTTTGTGACAATATGTAGGTTTTTCAATAAGATGTTAACTTAGCACTATCTGATGAACACTTGTTGTGGATTCGTTTTATAGTTGTACGTGCCTCCAAATCGTCATGATGCTTCAGTTATCAATGTTTGGCTCTGATGTGATCTAAAATCCTTCTTCAGAGGTGGAATTACTGGGGGTCTAAGCTGTAAGTTGTCTACTATAGCTGGAAGGAAACGGCAGTGCATAGGTGCATAGTGAGGATTTGTGCGCTAATAATGTTTGTGTTGTTGATAATTCCATTAATTTGTTGTCTCTAATACACTTACTTGGGATTCAAAGCTAGATATTAGTTGCGCATTCACTTTGTCTAATTCATTCTGAAAATTACAATTACAGTGATTTAAATTTTATAGAAATTTATTTTGCGATGTCAATAGAAATATAAATTAGCGCCTTAGCGCCTAGATGTGAGGCATTGCGAAAATGTTTGACGTGCGATTTTTCTGTGATATGGATTAATTGCACACCACGCGGGCGCGGTGGCGAGGAATCTTTAGAGGAAATTCAGAATAGAGTTTTACAAGCAGTTTCTGAGTACTATGAGATATGAACTAGGCAAATTGCGAAACATCTAGGAGTAGCCAGATCCACAGCCCAACGCAAAGATATTACCCCTATAAGTTCAGGATTTGTCAAGGACTTAGACCAGGAGATAGCGAACGGCGTCAGCATTTTTTGAGTGGTCGAACCTGTGAAGAATTTAATTTCCCTTCCAAAAAAAATTTTTTTTGGGCATATTTATGTTAAGAAAATAACGGCAACCTATTTGAGTATCCACTTATTGTGAATAAAATAAAAAATATGGTTAAAATGTATTCGTTATTCTGAATATCACTAGATGATATCGGGTGTACTTTTTTTGGGATCATACAAAATATAAAGTTGTCGATGGTTTCTCAAAAACGAACCATCGGGCACAAAATTTAAAAACAGCACGTCATGCAGAGCCTAAAAGTGTCAATAGAAATGTCATATTATTTTTTGGATATTTCCTAAAATAAAGTCGGAAAAAATAAAAATGACTTGACCAAACTTTAGTTTTTCATGAATATCTCAGTAAGCAGTGAAATTTTTTCAAGTTTCTCAATGCATATAAATACGTCCGACAGAACGCAACTCTTTCCTAATTTAACCTAAGCTCCATCTCCCACAGGTATTGAAATTCTTATGCATAGAATTCTTATCTTGAACACCCTGCATAGGTGGGAAATACCAAGTAGATCTAGCTGACTATCTTTATTATTGCTATTCATCCCCCCATACCTCTTTCGAAAGTGGAGCAGCACGTCCTTCCGAGAAAGTTACCATCTGCCAAATGATACAGAAAACAAAAACGCAGCTGAATATGATTTTTCGAACATAAATCTTGGTATTAATCGTCAATTAAGCGATACAAATATATTCCACATAATCATGGCCTGATCCTAATTAGTTACGACATGTGGATATCTCAGGCTTCCAGTTATGCAAATATTGTTGTATTAGAATAAAATGATCGTATGTTTGCTGAAGTAGTAACGCTTTCAGTGTCAAATAGTTGAATGGAATTGATATTTTATGATCCGTCAATTCTTTGTATGCTCAAACTGCGCGAAGGTAAAGACAGAATGCTGAGACTTATGGATAGACGCTTTCTAGCCTGCCAACCACCAACTCATAGTCGATTTTCTTGACTTCTTACTATAATAAGCATGATTAACCTTCCAGTACTCTCGCGGGGAAAATCACGTAGGTACTCGCGTGGGGTACTGAGGTACCCCAACCTGTTTTTGTGTTTTTTAATTTAAATAAAACAACAGTTGGAGCTTTTCTTTGAAAAATATATTCACACAATTTTTCTAAATGCTTTTATAACAGAACAAAAAATATTCACTTACGAAAGAAATGCTAACATAATATTTATATAAAATCCTAACTAACAAATCAGGTCTCTGAAGGTATAATATGGCAAAAGCATCTATTCGCTGTCACAATTGGTTTCTATTTCTCTGCTATCAAGGCAATTACGGCATACGAAATTTTGATGAATTTTACATATCCACTCAACACATTTTACGCATGTAATTGGCGTTTTTCTATCAGCTGATCTGGGACATAAATAGCACCTACCCTTTCCAAGTTTTTGTTTCTTTGTAGTAGCCTTGTCTGTTGCTAGAGTAGTTTCCTCAATGTTCAGTAAAGCGATAGCCCTTTTCTTTATATTTCTTGGGATATTATCCATATATATTCTTTTCATTATTTGTGGCCGTACTAACTCTGCAGCTAACTCTTGCAGGAAATGTTCTCTGTTTGGTTTTTCAAAATTATTGTTCATAGCAAATAGACAAAGTGCGTTGATACCAGAGGCCAACGTCGGCTATTTCTAGCCACGTCATACTGGGTACAAAGTTTGTCTACGACATCCACTCCAGATTTAGTTCTGTTGTATTCCAGGATTATTTCAGGTTTCAAGCATTCCCTATCAACCTCGTCATCGTGGTGCATTGATGAAACCAGCAATACATTTTTGCCTTTTTTTGGAACGTAAGACAGCAAGGTAAGATCTGATTGAAAGGCAAACATACTACTCTGTTCTGGTCTAGAAGCAGTCTGTGTGAATTCTAATGGAATCTGCCTTTTATTTTTCTTAAGCGTACCAACCATAGTCAATTTATCTTTCAATAAGGCCCTAGCAAGAGGTACACTGGAAATCCAATTATCCATTGTAATGTTACGACCTGTACCTTTTAGAGGCTCAACTAACCTTTTTACGACATCTCCAGGACTGTTACTCAAACCATACGGCCCGTTCGGTTGTTTACCTGCATATATTTCTAACCTGTATGTATACATGGCTTTGACATCGACCAATGCAAATATTTTGATTCCATATTTGCTGGGCTTATTAGGTATATATTGCCTGAAGGCGCATCTTCCTCGAAAGGCAACCAGTTGTTCATCGATGGTTAGAAAAGCGCTTGGTATCACTGGAGACTGGCAATTGTTCACAAATCGCTGAAAAATGTCCCTAATCGCTGCCAGTTTGTCATACATACGTCGATCTTCCCTAGTATTTACATCATCAAATCTGATACTTCTACACAGGAATCTGAAGCGATTATAACTCATTGTTATATATATGTTTTCAGCCCTAGGGGCCTCGGTTGGCCGCGTTGGTCAGAGTGTCGTGCTACTGATCAGCCGGTCGGCCGGGCCGCGAGTTCGAATCTCGCCTTCGCCATGGATGTTGTGACGTCGTGTGTTTGTCGTCCATAATTATAGACATATATAAAATATCCAACCTAGATTCTGGCTGCATGGACTAGTCCTAAAGCCAAAAAAAAAAAAAAAAAAATTCCATTGCCATTTGTGTTCCATAATGTCCGAATATTCTGCCTCCCAGATTTCAAAGATCCCGCCAAATAAAGTATTCCTATAAAAGATCTTATTTCACATACGTCAGTCAGTCTAGCGTCACGTTCTCTATCGAAATTTGCTTGAATCTTTGCAATGTATAGATTGGTACATTTCACAACGATTTCAATCATTGAATCATCAATAAATTGGCTAAGACAGTCCATCGAGGATTTGGCGTTTTTTGCGTTGCCTACTGGCCCTGGAAGTTTCAATATAAGATTATGAGCCTTTGTTCTTGACGTTGGTGGTTTGTTTTTACTCCATTTAGTTTCTTTATCCTTTCCCAAAAAAATATGGACCACCGTTTTTTACAGAATCTTCTTCAGTTATATTCGGAATATCAGCTCCCTCTTCAGACTCTTGCTCCGTATCTTCTATTCACCTTGTACTTCCAAGTTATCTGTTTCTTGCTCCGATGGATCATCTTCAGCATAAACTTCTTCGTCGTCACTGTCAAGCATTTCATTATACCATTTCAGCCATTGCTGTGGGTCTCTACTTGATAAATTTGCCATATTTTTACCTGCAATAACACCAATAAATTGCAAAAAACCTCAAAAATATCCTTACTTCCTTGTTACTCCGATGCTCGCGAGGGGTATCTAAATACCCCAATCAAATTTCGACTCGTAGCTTACGCACCAAGTGATCTCGACTGCAGCCAACTCTTAACACCAGCCTGCGTATACTACACTCGAGGAATAGACGAAACTATATACCGATCGTCATTTCCCCCACTCCAGTATAGATAGAGATATTACTAGTGGAGTATTTGGATACCCCGCGCGAGTACGGGAAGGTTAAGGGTGTATTTGCTTAATTTCATCAAAGAATGAGGTTGACCAGCTGTGTAAAATATTTATGATATTCGATGGATCATGTCCTCAAAGTTGTCATTTATTTGAACAGCTTTTAGAACTAGTCAAAAGAAGTCGATATTAAAAAAATCACCTATATAAAAGTTCGATAAAAAGAGACAAATAATATATTATAAAAAAATATTTTAAATCATTATCAAGTTAAATGGATACCGTTTTTACAAAAATTGTTCCCATTTGTTTGACTAACGCAAAATCTTGCTGGGCGAATCCACGACTTTTTACAAGCTTCGAAAATATAATTCTGGTGTCCACGAATTAAATCACAAGCATTTCCAGTGCGTTGTTGAAGTTCTTCCAGATTATGTACTGCTCCATCATGATACATCAAGCCCCACAGAAAAAAATCGCAAGACGTTAAATCCGGGGAGCAAGCAGGCCAAGAAATGGGTCCTTGCGCCCTATCCATCTATTCGGGAACTCATTATTTAGATGTTCATGAAATTCTCGTCTAAAATGTGGTGGAGCCCCGTCATGTAGGAACCACATATTCTGTCTCGCATTTAGAGTAACATCTTCTAATAATTGTGGCATATTCTGCCGAAGAAAACCTAAATAAATTTCACCGGTCAGTGGAGCTCAAACATTTAATGAAAGTCTATGTTGAAAACGAGTTCTTTTTCCAGCATGCGAATTTTCTGCTGCCCAAACATGATTGCCGTGGAAATTGTGCACTTCATTTCGTGTAAATTTAGCCTCGTCTGTATACAAAATTAATTTCGTAAAATATTCATTTCTGCCGAACTATTCTAAAAGCCACTGGCGAAATGCAATTCTTCTAGGATGATCTTCAGGTTGCAACGCTTGTAACCGTTGATACTGATAAGGATAATTCTGTTCTTGTCGCATTGTCTTCCACACTTTACTATGAGAAAGTTCAACTTTCAGGTTTTGCACGTCTTCCAGCGTGACCTCCTCATTGCTGTTTTAAATATCCTGTGTCACGAAGCTTAATAACTAAATTTACAGATATCTGTGGGGCCGGATAATTTCTTAAAGGAAACCGCATACAACCTGCATACTGCGACTGCATTTTACTTATTTTTATTTATCTATTTAATAAACGGGTAAAACCCTTGTTACATATACAGTCTTGATTAAAGAATCACATTGTAATATTCTTAAACACACAGACAAAAGTTCCAAATAACTTTAAACTATATATATATATATATAACAAAAATAGGAAAATAATGGACAAACTCCGCAAAAAGTGGATTCGAGCAGAAAATAGGATAGGTAACCCGAGCGATACGTATTTCTGCTGGTTGGCTTCATCAGGCCCGAAATGAATGCACATATGCAACTACAAAAGTAGAGACACATGCCCATACATCCGGATACGGGTGTAACCTGAGGAAACAAAGTTGGAGAGGAAAAAAAGAAGACACACGAAGTCCACAACAAGAGCCAACCTACACATTGTAGTATAAAATGGCTAGAAGACCTCGAATTTTCAAGGCGACAAATAACCACAACCACGCGGCTGGTTATAGCCACTTGCTGTGGTACTTCATGCCCAAAGGATCTACAAAGAGAAAATTATCATGCGGAGAAAGGTATATAACAAAAATAGGAAAATAATGGACAAAATCCGCAAAAAGTGGATTCGAGCAGAAAATAGGATAGGTAACCCGAGCGATACGTATTTCTGCTGGTTGGCTTCATCAGGCCCGAAATGAATGCACATATGCAACTACAAAAGTAGAGACACATGCCCATACATCTGGATACGGGTGTAACCTGAGGAAACAAAGTTGGAGAGGAAAAAAAGACACACGAAGTCCACAACAAGAGCCAACCTACACATTGTAGTATAAAATGGCTAGAAGACCTCGAATTTTCAAGGCGACAAATAACCACAACCACGCGGCTGGTTATAGCCACTTGGATAGGATAGGTAACCCGAGCGATACCTATTTCTGCTGGTTGGCTTCATCAGGCCCGAAATGAATGCACATATGCAACTTATTTATTATTTGTCGGCTTGAAAATTCGAGGTCTTCTAGCCATTTTATAGTACAATGTGTAGGTTGGCTCTTGTTGTGGACTTCGTGTGTCTTTTTTTCCTCTCCAAATTTGTTTCCACAGGTTACACCCGTATCCGGATGTATGGGCATGTGTCTCTACTTTTGTAGTTGCATATGTGCATTCATTTCGGGCCTGATGGAGCCAACCAGCAGAAATACGTATCGCTCGGGTTACCTATCCTATTTTCTGCTCGAATCCACTTTTTGCGGATTTTGTCCATTATTTTCCTATTTTTGTTATATACCTTTCTCCGCATGATAATTTTCTCTCTCTATATATATATACAGGGTGACTTTGAAGTTGAGTCATTAATTTTCAGATAATGATTGTAGAAGGAAGATAAACCAAAATAAGTGTGTAAAAATAAAAAAAAAATAAAAAAAAAATAAAAAAAAAGTTTACCTTGTTTTATAAAGTATCCTCCCGACAAGTATTTCAGTGCGGACCTGTATTTGATCGTGCGGTCTTGGAGCACCGGCATGTCACCTAATTCACGAGCCCTTTGTACTACATTAACAAAGGCACGAGGGGTTGGTTGCACTCGATTGGGAAACCGATCCGCATAAACATGTGCCATTTTTGATTTCGTTTGAGCCACGCAACAGACACCAACTATTCACTCACGCACTGACACTGACTGTATACAACTGAATAGAATAATTGTAAAAACATCGTTCCAAATTCTTTCGCTTTTTTGTTTCCGATGCGATGAACCGATAAGGCGGATTATATCCGTTGTCGCCAAACACGGGCACATAATATTATTATTATTGAGACAGGGCGGTACTCAAACCTCCAAAGGGCTATAACTTTGTTACTTTAATTTTACCAGAAAAATGGTAAAGGAAAAAAACATTTCTTTTGACCAGATCTACTCACTGTTAAAATAAATGACTCAACTTCAAAGTCACCCTGTATATATAACTTGAGACGTGGTCATTGTCGTCTAGACTAGTTAGTTGAAAAATTAAAGCTTTCACCTTTTGTTGGGTACTTCGACAAAATTTAAGCAAAGAGGACTCTTTATACATTTTTAATTCTCTCTAGCTTTCAATGGAC